CATTTCAGCCTAGAAATCTCACCAATTTAAATGTTGCAGAATAAGATGCTTACAGTTCAGCCTATAAGTCCTCAAATGCATACCTGCAAACCCAGGCATAAAAGCAAGCAATATGATTTGTAATAAAGCTCTGACCTGACATTGTAAGCAAGCAAAGAGTTTTAGATATAAAGAGCCACGAATAGATGTAAACCTGGAGTTCATCAGTGTTCACTGAGCAGCTTAAGAAAGCATAATCAACCTCACCGAACCTCAAACAAAATGAAAATGGCAGTGCACTGTATGGGTCGAGCAAATAAAACAAAAAGCAGAACATATAAAAGATTTTTAATGGGAAATAGCAATTATTATGAACGTGTAAACTTAGAGTTAATGAGAATAGTGCCAAGTCTAGCCATGGCATCCTGATAAGCTGATTTTTATCACCCTCTCTCTAAGGTTACAAATTCAACACACAACAAAATGGCAGCGTGCTGATTGCTGATACACCATGTTCATTCCTTGTCATATCTTGAAATGCCTTTTGCCAATCACTTTTTTCATTATTGGTCTTAGTGGCAAAAATAAACCACACAAAGAAAAGGGCAACACAACCAAAACCGAATGCTAATTTAACATGTAGATACTGCATTACTGGCAACACTTGTATCAGTACTTACATTCAGTAGGTAGCTCCAATAGTCTCCACTTCATTGAGATATGAGGAATGTGATGTTAAATGAAGAAGAATAAGTGATACTGCTGTCAAGTAGAGTAGTCTAGTTAGTGTAGTCATATAAGGGGGGAACAACCCCTAAAGGGACATAATTACCAACAAAGGGGACAAATCTGCAATGTAAAGGCAACTGCACACAAAATGGAGATCACGACATTATGTGTGATGGTTCAATTTTGTTCAGTCCTACCTTCTCAAGAACACTTAGAAAGCAAGCAACATATTATTGCACATCAACATTCATAAACCGTAAAAATACTCAGATTCATGAAAATAGTAGGATCTAAGGTAGAGCAAAATAAAGATTACTTCTGTCATAGCAAAAACTGCAAAATTCACAGAGAACAGTGGCTAACCTGGACCTACTTCAAAAGCACATATATGCTTCATTGAGTTGCTGCTCCCAATCAACTGTCCTCTCCAGAAGTTATAGTACAGGTACTCCAGTTTTTGGTTAATCCAAAGGCAAGCATTACCTGCACATCTATGCACCACATAAATTTAATAGATAACCAAAACTACCATTTTGATCTCAATACTCAATAAGAAAAAGAACACAGACCTTGAAATCCCATGAAGAGGTCACACGTGAGGGAACTGACATACATTTTTTTTGGAGTTAGACTCAAAGGACAGTTAGAATAGGGGAAGTCCCCTAATTATGTTTCCACACTATTATTAATCAACTTGCCATCTGTGAAGGACCTCTACCGAGTTCTCCACACTCGGAAATCAAACGAAAGGGAAAAAGAAAGCTTAAATGGGTCGATCATGGACGTCAATGCAGATATAGAACCCAAAAAATTGCAGATCCTCAACAATAACGATTCAGCATCAGACATATAATAAACACAAAGCAATTTTCCTAACTATTGTTCCACAATTGCAGGTTCTCGTAACCACGTTGTTTAGGATGCATCTTACAGACACTTGAATCTGAAAATCAACAAAAGAACAAAAGTTTCAGATTTATTTTCCAGATTATTATCGATGCCTACAGGGGTTACCTCTAATCTGTTGTGCAACACTCCAATATGCAAGCACACAAATAAAATGCGAACAAATTTGTAATGATCAAGTGGATCATCATTCTAAATAAAAATTATGTCCACTGAAACTCTTCATTATGATTGGATTCGAGAGTGTCGATTGGGAACATATCTGTTATGGTAGGAGTATTTAGGAACAATAGTACCAAACTATTTTCACTCAAGAGCTACTCATAAAACTGAGCATAGACCTAATTGCCCACAAATTGGCAACTACAGAGGGTAGAAGAATGAATTACATGTACCTGTCGATCCCCTAGTCAACCTTCCTACACTCTGCTGATCACGACATATTCCCTCTTCGAGTCTGCTGTTGAGCTGCAGTATGGAATGGGTTCACTTCCCCCATCAGCAATGACGACTTCTTTCTCTTGCCCTGGGTCTGGGTGAAAGCAATAAAAAAAACATATAAGAATCATATCAAAGAAAGGTCAATTCCAGAATATAAACAGAACCGAACCCCAAAAAGAAGAAGATTACCTAATTGCCTCTGATGCCTTTGGAAATCTACATTGACGACATCTCCCCCCTTATCCTTCTCTTGTCCAAACTAAAAAACCCAAAGAGAAAAGTCTGATTAGTTTAGTAACCGATGAGTAAAAAATCGAAACATACAAAAATCAGAAAAGAAACAAATCCACATTAAAAACTTACCTTGCACACTGTTGATAGTTGTCCCACCGATAGCAGAAGGCTATGTTTCCTCTAGCGGCAAGAGAAGGATCTCATTATGCAGCAAGCACAGCAGAGTAAACTACATGCAAATATCCATTATGCGATAAACATTTAGCAACTGAAAACTGTAGCTCTTAACCGATAGAAACAAGCTTGAAAAATGTCAGGTTACTGAAGATTTAACACTGCGCACAAGTCAATCATGGGCTTATATGGCAGATTAAAGGGAACGATTCGAACCTTTGGAGTTCCTCAAGGCCTTGAGAACGATCATGTTGGTGTTGTTGGCAATAAATTATATTATGACCAGTACAGCAACTGCCTCTTTCTTGCGTGCAAAAAAACTGAAGCAAGAGCAGCAAGATTGGAAGTTAAAGTACCTCCATCCCACTACAATTTACTGGAGGTTTGATGAAAGCATAGTTCCTGGAGAAATGCAATGAAAAAGTTAAGTATCTCCATCCCACTACAATCTAAAAGGAGAAACCCATGGTACCATCATATAAGACGCTGCAGAACTTTACATAACAGGCTTTAACAGAATCTGAAAGGCTAAAAACCAATGGTAACATACTGCAGAGTCCTGTACAGCTGGACCTTACTCGAAGTCGTAAGATGTAGCCTGAACAAAGTGGATGATATGATAGCTACGAAAGGGTAGTAACGAAAAAGGCCACGCAATGATAGGTAGGAAGTAGTGAAACAGTAGTAAGATATAAAGAACAATTATATCAGCGAAATTAGGACAATGAAACGGGAAAGAACAAAGAAAAGACCATTCGTGAAATATGAAAGATAAATCTGCAAACCACATGATGCAGCTAGCACAAAGGAACAAAATACAACCTTAAAACCAATATTTGGAACATATAGGCCAGTAAGATGTGGACTCCAATCCATTTTTTCTGCGGACCAAAAAACACCAAAGGTAATACCTTCCCTTTACCACTGCCATCTCAGTCCTACTCAAGGCTCAATGGCTCAACTAATGTTGGCCGTAAAACTTAATTTCCTTCATAATTCAAGAAGAACAGATATTAGAAAAGGCAAAAGAAGAGCAGCAGGAAGAATAAGGAAAAGAATAAAAAGAACAACCCTAAACGTATTAATAAACACTATCGTTGTTCCGGCAAGGTTTAGGCAAAGGACATGTCGTTGGAGTAGGGATAAAAGAGATGTCTTGACTAAAAATGACTCCACGGCAGGGACTTACGGCTGGAAAGAAAGAATCCATCTCCAAGCTCGAATATGCAAAATGGAAAGAGAGAAGGTGAGTAGCAACGGAAGAAAATGAGCGACTAAAACCTAAAGCATAAACACTGGCTAACTCTAAATAGGCCAATTGAGACATCCATATTGCTTACAGAAACTGGAAATAAATATAAAAACTAAAAATGGGCAGATTTAAAACCATGTACCTGGTTCGCAGATTCCTTATAGACTGATCTTCTCCCTTTTCTTGTAAGGTTCATCCCCGTCCAATCTCAAAAGCTTTCCTCCTTTGCGGTTCTCATGGCAGAAAGCTTTCTCGAGATCTCCCATTGATCCAAACCGGCAGAGAGATTTCAAAGATCAATAGAGATCAACCTTGCCCCTGGGATGAGTAAAATCGACCAAAGAGATCTCCTCCTCTCTTAAACCTTCCCTTCTAAGCTGGATCATCTTTCTCCCTTCTCCTCCTTCTTCGAGACAAAGAGACTGATGATAAGTTTTGGTTTTTTTTTTTTTTGTTTCATTTCTCTTGTTTTTCCGTACAGCAGTGAGAAAATTGAGTGGATAGGAAGTGGGCAAGAGCTAAGTGACATGGGCAAATCCCCTTATGCCTGCTCCGTCGGTCCCTCTTCCACGACCACCTTTGCCGCCGTCACATGGCAACTCCACCTCTTCCCTCCTCCAGGCAGCATCACGACCACCCCCGAGCGCCAACGACCACATATTTGATGGGGAAGAAGCACCGAGATCATTGGGTGCATTCGATTTTGGAAGATTCAGAAAGGAATGAGTCAGAAAGATGTGAAGCTATGCTCCGATGCGAAGAATGTACAAATAACAAATAGAGACAGAAGCACCTACTGTGATTGAAGAAGACACTGTCTTGCCACCCGCCTCCTCTTCCTGTTCTTTTATTTTGCTGTATTTTTTGTTCTTGTTGCGGTTGTTCCCGTTGAAGGCGCAGTCCCCAACTACAACTCTTCCTTCATCAGAAGTCAGTCGACAACTTAGCAAATCAGCTACGATGCCAATAGAATCCGGACCAGGCTACACATATATAACAATATAACGAAATCAAATCAGCACAAATTGATTAATTAATCAAATATTAGAGAGTTAGCAAAAGTATAAAGTTGCCACCTTCATCCCAATCATCTGAACCCAGTTGACAGAAGTTCCTGCAGCTTTGGAAAAGAACTCTGCGAGGGACTCCTTAGCTATTGCGAGAAGACTACACAAACATAGAAACCACATTGTACAACAACGTTAAACTCATTACGCGAGAATCAATTCAGTCAGATAAACTGTTGTAGCAGGTCAGAGGTGAAAATGTTTACCCAGCTGGGTTGTTAGCATCCACACTTAGCCAGCACATGATCTCTCACAAAAGTCCCAATCTTTCCTTCACTTTGCCGCACACGACCCACTAAGTAAGATGTGGCAATGAGCTCAAAGCTCCTCCATCTCCTTTCTTGCTGCTGCATTAAGCTTAGCTTTTGGGGGTTCCCTGCACATGCACATGATCCCAAGTTTCAGCACAAGTACAGATCAATAAGCAATACTACTGTCTTAAAAAATAAAAACGAAACTTTTGGAATACAGAACATTTCTCAATAACGTCCAAACTTCATACCTTAATTAGATCATTAGGTGCCGGGCGTTATAGATCAGTAATAAAGCGAACCTGCATGATAAGAGATCCTGTTAGTATGCAATTGAGAATGCACGAGAAGAAAGGGGCAGAAATGAAATCAAAAGGTATACCTTTCCACCAGTTGCCTCTAGAGGCAGAGTTAGCGTTGTTGTTGTTGCCATTTGGGTCGTCGGTAGTAGTGTTGTGACGGGCGGCGGCGGAGGGGTTCCCGTGGGCCGGCGGGGAGGAAGAGGAGTTGTAATTCTCTTGGCCGCCGTAGTAGATTGACGAGCTCAAGTAGCACGACGGCTCCACCGTCCCACCATGTCCACCGGCGCCGTTTTTCTCCTTTCCATGACGGGCGATGTAATTCTCTGTCAAATTCATATATAATCAACACATTAGTACTGTATGATTAGTAAGACTGAAACAAATTATCCTTCCTAGTTTAGGAAATATATCAATCTATATACCTGCAGAAGGAGAAGTAGTTCCGGCGTATTTGTTTCCACCGCCGTCCCTCCCCATAATCTACAATGATCACCCAAAATCAGCTGATGAACTGAACATCTTCAAAATTAATTAACGTGGCTAATTAGGAGGAAAACAGTTGGATGATTAGTACCGTGGAAGGTGGGGGGAAGATGGCGCCGAAGTAGCTGGAAGAAGAAGATGACGAAGAAGAATCCTTAGGACCAAAAAGATGATCCATTGAAGAAGAAGAGGAGCTACCACCAGCTTGCTTCTTGTTTTCCATGCTAGCTATCTCGCTCGCTCTATATGGTTTGGGCATCCCCTGCAACACAGACATTGCCTTTGCTTATGTTCCCCATCAGAACCTCCCATGGCCGCCTGTATCGTAATGGGGAGGACATGATTCTTTCTGTCTCAATGTTCTCCACGACTTTCTTCATGTCAGGTGTGTTCTGGAGTTTGCTTAGTACAAATTCCTTCAACTTAGCGGGGTTATCTTGGAGATCCTTCTCTGCAGATTACAAGATGAGTATACATAAACAATGACATAAGATGAGGAATTCGTTCTCGATACAATATCAGCGACTTTGGAAGTTGAAATTTCTAAGGTTGGAATTCTAATTTTAAGCATACCTTGGGTAGAGGGTGTCCAAGTGAAGAACCAGTACAAGGTTTTGTCATCACAAGCAATACAACCAGCTCGAAAGCCCTTCCCAACAAACAGAAGGAACTTAGAGACGAATTCATGGCCTTGTGGGAATATTGCAACGCTTCTAACTGCTGATCTTCCAGTGAATGCTGCCTTGCTGAATCCTAGCCACTTAGCCACCATGGAATTCACTCCATCACAGCCGATCAACACCTTCCATATATGAATCAATTTAGCTTCAGAGGCATAATTAACTATTGATTCCACTATACAAAAGTTCCCCATCTCTTGCTTACCTTAGTTTTGATAACGGTGCCATCAGAAAGATGCAGTGACTTCACTAAGCACCCAGAATCCGATCCCGAATCTTCCATGGAAACAACATTTGATGAGTACCTGATAGTGCCCTCCGGAAGCTCATTCTCCATGGCTTCAAGCAACAGCTTCCTCTGCACACACCGAGCTTCATGTCCGTTACCAGAGAAAGGCACCTCTGCGCTGGTCCGTTCTGTAATCGTGGAAGCAAGCACCACTCTGGCATTTCATCAAACACCATCCATGCATCAGTTCAAAAGAAAAAGCCTGAAAAGCTTCTGCAGAAACCCAATATTCCATCAAAATCTCGAAATGCTCTAACTACCCTACCCATCAATCAGCTTATGTTGCTGGCGAAGGGCGTCCCCTAACCCAAGAGCATCCAGAGCTCTCCAAGCATTCGTCCATGTCGCCAGAGCAAACCCAGTAACCCTCAAGCTCGGTGCTGACTCCAGCACCAGGTTTCTGATTCCGAGCCTGCACAGCAGAGTTGAATTGAAGTTACCCAGTACTTAAGAAGTTATATATCGATCGAGAAAGCTTTGGGATTGGAGTGGTTACCTGTGACTTGATTGGTTTTGCTGCTGCTGTTGCTGCTGACCGCTTATGACCACAGACTCGCAGCTGTTGTCTGTGTCCGCACCAGGCAGCATCATCGATCCCGTCGACGCCATTTTCTTCTTCGTCCATCTCCGCAAACAACACTAAAAACAAGAATCAGAAGCAAAAACAGAAAGGAGGATGAACTCCAAGAACGATAGTGAACAAAAACCCAGAAAAACCTAGAAGAAAGGAAACGACTTTATCACTAAAAACAAGAATCAGAAGCAAAAACAGAAAGCAGGAAGAAAACCAAGAACGATATTGAACAAAACCCCAGAAAAATCTAGAAGAAAGGAACCGACTTTATCTTGATGGATAATCTGTGAGTTCCGGTTTGTGCTCTATTTCGCCGGATTCTTCTGTCATCTCCTCCATGTTCTGCTTCTAAAAACAAGAATCAGAAGCAAAAACAAAAAGGAGGATGAACTCCAAGAACGATATTGAACAAAAACCCAGAAAAACCTAGAAGAAAGGAAACGACTTTATCACTAAAAGCAAGAATCAGAAGCAAAAACAGAAAGCAGGAAGAACTCCAAGAACGATATTGAACAAAAACCCAGAAAAATCTAGAAGAAAGGAACCGACTTTATCTTGATGGATAATCTGTGAGTTCCGGTTTGTGCTCTATTTCGCCGGATTCTTCTGTCATCTCCTCCATGTTCTGCTTCACCCATGTCTCGATCTTCCTTTTCTTCTTCTTCACCTTGCTTCTTCTTCGTCGTTCAACACAAAAGAGAGAAGGAGAGAGAAAGCAGATCTAGAAAGATGGAGAGAGGAATGGGGGATTAGACATGAGGAAGAAAGAAGGGATAAGTAATAAAAAGTCTCCCTTTGGTCAGAAAAAGCAAAACAAGTATAGTCAATTGAGAAATGATGAGAACAAGTAAAAAGCAAAAAAGTAACAGTAACGGGATGTGACTCTACGAAACAGTAAAGTTGTAACTTGTTCTTTTAAAGAGATAATGGGTATATGGTATGAGTTTTAGTAACAAACTTGGTTCTGGATTTGTTTTAATGACCAGGGTTTGCAACCAAGCTTTTGTCGCGAATCTTGTTGCCTCTCTTTAGTGACGACTTTTAGCGACCATTTTGATTTCGACACAAATATTTTTTAGCTTTAGTCACAAACTGTGCAAGGGTTTAAACCAGCAAGGGTTTAAACCCTTGCAAGTAGTGTATCTTCAGCAATTTTATATAAAGTTACAAAGGCCTGTAGCAAGGGTCGAAACCCTTGCTAGATGTAGGAACGAATTATGCAAGGGTTATAACCGATGGTACGAGCAACTCACGCTTGAATTTTTCACATACGTGTAGCAAGGGTTTAAACCCTTGCTACAACCGCTGCAGGGGACTTGCACCAAGGGTCGCTTATAACCCTTGCTACACATAGCAGGGGCGGCTTTGCCAAGGGTCCGTCCAAGGGTTGGCTAAACCCTTGCTACATCATGTAGCAGGGGTTAAAACCCTTGCTACGAAGGAAAATAACCCTTGCCATAGACCCTTTTTTTTGTAGTGAGTGATGCAGATTCAAAATTGTGGGTGGATAATTGGGTAGCAAGGAAATACATTATGCATGCAACATGCAGTGTTGTCGGGAATTGGGTGGCTAACTGGCTATATAGTACGTACTGGTGACAAACATCGTCATATCGACCGACTGCATGTGTTATTTAGCCAACATTTGGAAATTTTTCCCTTTTAGGAAAGATCACTACATCCTGGGCGTGGAATCACATGCACTAACGTACTTTGGCCAAACTTTTCGGCTTAATTTCTGGTTGGAAGTAGTTTCATGTCACAGATTCAGTGGCGAATGGCGATACAGAAATTCTATATAGGAATGTTCTCTCCCAAAAATTTAATTTAATTTAATATTAAAATTTAATTCAATAATTATTAGATATGAAAATATCTGACCTAAAAATTACATTAAAGTTCATTCGTGTTTCGTAAAATATTAAAATACATTCGGTGTCTATACTGCTCAACAAATATCTCTCGACATATTCTATTAAGTTTTGAAAATAATTCAGGATAAGAATAACATTTAACTATTATATTTGAATCTAAAACATAATAACAAGGGGTAATACCACTGGAAATACCATTCTTTAACGAAAGTGCTATTTATATTACATGCTTTCAATAAACACAAAATTATTCCAACCTATTAGGATTCTGCGTCATTTGTGTTACGCTATTTTCTGTTGACCGTTAGAATTGATGGTTGACGTGACGGTGGCCAACATTGTGTCCACGTAAGCGACAAGTGGATGCAACGTTAGAAAAAAAAGAATAAAAAATTTGAAAATATTATTTATTATTTATTTATTATTATATTACAAAATTAAATAATTTTAACCCCCCCCCCCCCAACTGTGAATTCACCCTCTGACGACCAAACTTTCCCCGCCGTAGTTGCCACCTTCCTTCTCCATCGTTGGTGACGACTGGCCGACTTCCTCGAAGTAGCTATTTCCACATCTTCTCCTCCCTCTCTTCGCTTTGCTCCGTCGCCCGAACCTGTGTCCCACAAGGTACCCGAATACTTTGCCTTCGTCGACAATGGTCCATCCCGAATCGAGAAAACTAAAACCTAAAATCCCCTTATCCGATTGGAAGTGTTTCTTAAAGCACTCCAAAATCTAGATGCGGCAAACCCATAAACCCCCAAATTTCATCCAACTTTCTGATCTAGATTTCCAAATCGAAGAACCATTGGGAACTAAGAAGCGCCACAGTTCCTGCCGCCCAGCATCTTCATCTTCGTCTTCTACTGGTACGACCACTGCAGCTTCATCGCCTTTTCGCTGCACTCCAACTCCTCGCTCTGCATCATCGCCGTCGAGCATCGGTGGATCCAGATCAGGCAATCCCTTCATCTTCAGACCGATGGATCTAAAGACATCATTAAAAAAAAGAGAATTTTACCCATCCCATTCGGTGAAATCCTCTCCTCCGCCTGTTTCTAGATCCTCTGAAACCCGCTACCAAGCTCGGAGACGGGATCGTTGAGGCACAGCGGAAGACAAACATTGAGAGCGATTCAGGAGGAAATCAAAGGTTGCGGTCAAGGATCATTTAAGGTAAAGAAGGGCGACGGTGGGGGAGGCGATAAATGATGATGGCCGATGGAGGTGGGTAAAATGGAGGGTTGGGAGAGCAAGGAGAAGTCGAGGGAGGGAGATGGGCGGAGTTGAATTGCAGAAGGTAGAGAGGGGTAAGGGGGGAGACGGTCGGCTTTGTGGGTCAAGCATTCTTTTATTTTATTTTTTATTTTTATTTTTTGCCATGTCATTGTCCATGTCATAACCTTCTTGGCTCTTGGTCAAACAATAACGGAAAAATTAACAGAACACTAACGGCATAACAGAAATGGCATATCGAGAGTTTCATAATATAAATGACACTTTCGCTAAAGGTTGGTATTTCTGTTGGTATTAGCCCTAATAACAAATTAGTTGTAGTGTAATTGAAAATAGGTTTACTAATAATGGTAGTGTCCCAAGTTTAAATCACATAGACTACTACTTAAATATTATTTGTACCAATACGCAAACTATTACGGGAGGTTGGATAATCATTTCCCCAAATTTTAAGAGTGTCCCACTACCACTTGAACATTTTTTTTGCTTATACGCAAACTACTATCGGAGGTTGAATAATTGTGTTTCAACTATCCGGGACACCCCTGAACATGCATGTATCCGCCACTGCTCAGGGTCAATGAATTTGGCCTGTTCAAGTAGGACCGGTTTGGTTGGTTGGAATCATTGGTCTAGGTCTGATCAAATAAAAAAAAAATTAAAAAGAAATGCAAGAGTCTTAAGAAATTTAAAAAAAGTGCTTACAACATCACCACCAGAAAAGCAGTTGTTTTCACCACATCGTCAAACACATTGCCCATGCTACCAACGAAACCTATTTCGGTCCTTCGACGGACTGCAATCGCAAAACTGAGTATCATCTTCTCCACCGGAAACGCCCACAAAACACGCCGCCGCTGAGAAGAATCAGAGAATCGGGGGAAATTGCTCGTTAGAGCTTTCCATTGATGCTGAAGCACCTTATATACATTAATTACACTTAACGGTAACTACAACTAACAAATGAAATAAACCTATAAGAGCTATACACGTGTAAACTATACAGTAAAGCCGGAACAAAGGCCATTAACCAAAATGGTGCACTTTACTTTATTCTGTCTCTTTGTAAACGTCACCGTATGAGGCTCTGCATCCTTCATCTGTTCTGCATTCTTCATCAGCAGCAGAGCCTCCAATCCTCTTGACAGCAAGGCTGCAAGATGAATCATCCATCCTCTCTGTTACCATTCCACAAGCTGGCGAGTATAGATCATATACTCCTGGCTTGGATAACAAAAGAGCAAAGCGATCAATAGACAAGCTTTTTGTAAAGATGTCTGCTAACTGTGATTCAGTTGGAACATGGTGAAGAGAGATCAAACCAGATTGAACATGTTCCCTGATCACATGACAACCCACATCGATATGTTTTGTTCTTTCATGAAAAACTGGATTTTCTGCTGTGTGGATTGCAGGCTGGTTGTCACAGAATACCTTGACTGGCTGTTCATGTTTAACTCCAAAATCCTTTAACAACCTGATCAGCCACTCAACTTCACAGCTTAAACTGGCTAAAGCCATGTACTCTGCCTCAGAAGATGACCTGGACACTGTCTTCTGCTTCTTGCTCTTCCAAATAGCAATTCCAGACCCAAGGAAAGTGCAGTAGTCAGTAATAGATTTCCTTGAGTCAGGACAAGTGCCCTAGTCTGAATCACTGAAGCCGATCTGTAAGAGTAAGGGTGTTCTCCCTTGGATAGAGCAATCCCTGACCTGGTGAATTTTTCAAATATCTCAAAACCCTATGTAAAGCCCTTAGGTGCAAGGAAGTAGGGTTGTCCTGGTGCTGACACAGTTGCTGAACAGCAAAGTTGATGTCAGACCTGGTAGTAGTAAGGTACTGCAACTGGCATACTAGGTGCTTGTACTCA